TGTTCTTTTTTTTTTTTTTGCTTAATTCTATGATTTAATTAGAAGTTTAATAATTGGAAAATTAGCTCCAGAGCATCTAGGAAAGCGAGGCATTAAGTTGCTTAAAGTGCCTCACACAACTAAACCTTGGAAGCATTTCTGAAATATTTCCCCTGCTAAGCAAGAGGGATGTCATGAAATGAAACAAAAAAGGAAACGATATTTCATTTGTATGGAAGGATAAAGTACATTTAATCTAAAACAGGCTACTTCAGTATTGATGGTTTACTTGTGGAGTTCAGCAATTTTAAAATGGAAATCTTACGGGTATTAACTCTACCACATGTAGGACGAATTAATCACATAGAAATGCACACACGTTACTGTACTTCGTAGCTATCAAAAAGCCGGAGCACTGCAAGTTCAGTAAGGGTTTTGTAACTTTGAATCCAGCCATCTTAATTCTAAAACAAAAACGTTCGGCTTCTGGCAACTTACATAGTAGCATTTCTAATGTTTTTTAAACAGCTATTAATGTAGTCAAGCTGTGTTTTTTCTTCTTCTGTGTGTAATCATCTGCTCAGTGGTGCACTCTGTAACTAGTAGCAGGAGACAGAGGAGTGGCCTGCTGTGATTGATGGGGCGAGGCCCAGCAAACCGAGAGAGTCCCATCTGGATTAGGTTTTGGGAGCAGTCAGATGCTGAGAGGGAGGTCAGTAAGCCTTGCGTTAGCTCCCCCTCCCTCAGCACCCCATCACCCGCGCTCACGCACACGGTACAGCGCGCGCACGCCCTCACCCATAATTGATGCTTGCTTTGGGCAGATGCTGTATGGCCTGGGACTAGCGCAGCTGCTAAGTTTATGGAGAATAAAGGGAGCAGGATGGTACAGCAGGTATTTTCACTTTTCTTTTCATTTGGAACTCCTGATTTTAGTCAAGCCACGGCATTTCTTATAACCAGCTGCACCACTGCGTGCAAGACTTCTAATACATGTTTTGTTGCTTAAGCCTGAAGGAGGGCAAACTGTGGTGGTGGTGGTGATGTATCTCTGCTGTGCTTGATATATCTAACTGAGCCGTTCTTATAACCAGCAGGTTTACAGAGTAATGTTGCATTTTTCTTCTTTGTTTCCGTGCCCTAAGGATATGATGCAGTTTGCCTCATTTAACTACGGTATGAGGGGCTTTCTCTAAATATGAAATATCTTTTGCCAAAGAAACAAAATGCACCAAACAGCAAATAGAGTAAAACAAACAATAAACTGTTAGACTTTAAAATGTAGGCAAGCAGAAAGGTTTTCATTGAATACATTTTTATGCTGCAAATGTGTTTTTAAAAAGGAACACTACGTAAGTAATGTTTTCTGTGCTCTGTCTTTTGTGTACAAACACAACAAGCTTGCTTTATTATGTTTTGACACTTTTCATGCATTTCTTAATTATGAAATCCTTTCAGAGCAGAAGATGCTGAAAAGGCATGTTGAGATCTGAGAAACTAGCAGCATTTTAAATTCTAAGCTTTTCTTCAAATGGAGTAATATATGTGGAATAGGAGCGCCTTCACTTACCTGCATCAACGGAATGCTTTCTTTTTTTGTTCCTTAGAGTTCAACATTTAACCAGAAAGCAATAAACTTGATTTTATACACTGCCACGTAAAGCATATTTTTCAGTTGAAATGTGGTTTTCATTAAAACTCGGGCCAGAACATTTAGCAGAGCCTGACTGTCTGCCATCCTTTGTTCTTCTTTCTGTTGCCAACAACTACTTTATTAAAAACCATGCACAAAGTGAGCATTAAGGGGTCATTTAATCTTAAAGATTCTTGGAACTGAGTCTGAAGGGACAACTTCTGTTTAGCCTCTCCTGCCTAGGTTGCATTAAGCGATGTCTGTGTACTGTCATCCGCAGTTTCGAGATTACTCTAATACCTGAGTTCATAGGCTAATTTAGGATCAATATTTCCTGTTGCTTTTGGGGCCCTTTAAAATTTTCAACTTAATGTATTAGATGTATTATTTCCCGTATTCATTTTAGTTCATCGTATTTTAAAGGGCACAATAAAGGGACATTTTAATTATATTTATTATATTCCTGTTGCTTTTGGGGCCCTTTAAAATTTTCAACTTAATGTATTAGATGTATTATTTCCCGTATTCATTTTAGTTCATCGTATTTTAAAGGGCACAATAAAGGGCCATTTTAATTATATTTATTATATAATAATAATTATATTTTATATTTAAAGAATTTCTGGTTCTTTAAAGTCTATTCAAATGCATTTGACTTTTGTGTAGTCTGGGGTTTCCGTCAACCATGTGTATATACAAATGTGTATTAGTTGACACTGCATTGTTCTTGATATAAATTCATATGCTAAACAATAAGCTATTGGCTTGATAGCCATATAAGTAGTAAAGAACACGTTTCGACATGCGTGCTTTTATACTACGTTGTAATACAGTGTCTATTGAATTAATTGTAAACCACAAATTCACACTGATTTTAAAGGCTAGAAAAGGCTACAGTAGGCACCAATTTTAAGAAAACAACCCCCTGACCCTTTGTTGTTTACTTACTAATCTGGTCTCAGTTCTAAATAAGTGATGCAGACCTCAGCTTAACAAGTCTAAC